TATATATATATTTGGAGATGTAGTCCTAGAGTGTTGTAATTATTGAGTGTATTCCTGATTGCCAATGCCCCAGTTAAAGAAAAACAAACTGTAAGCCGTGTAGCCTATATAGTGGGCCTATTAAAAAGGGAGTGAGGGAACGAGCGAGAGAGAGAGACAGAGAGAGAGAGAGAGAGAGAGATGGAGAGGGAGAGAGAGAGAGAGAAAGAGGGAGGAGAGAGAGCGAGAGAAAGAGGGGAGAGAGAGAGGGACAAATAATGCATTTGTGCTGTGCACGCAAGCGCGCGCGCGCGCGCGTGTGTGTGTGTGAGTGTGTGTGACTGTGTGTAAGAGAGAGAGAGAGAGAGAGAGAGAGAGAGAGAGAGAAAGAGAGGGGGGAGAGAGGGAGGTGTAAAGAGGGAAGGAGACAGAACGAAAACGTAATAAACAAAGAAGACGAAAGAATGAAAAAAAGAAAGAAGAAAGAAAGAAAGAAACAGACTTCTGAGTCTGCACCAATGTTGGGTTAGCTGAACGTGCACTGGAATTGAATGAAACAGTTCTTAGACTTGACTTCTTCCACAACATTCCCGTAGGCCTACATCAGAAGCCTAAATAGATTTACGAAAGACATGCAAGTTTATTTCACTATTTGTCACACAATAGAAACGTAGGCTTTTTACGCCCCTGGACCCAGGCTCTCTTATATCTAACAAGGTTCATCCCCTGGCTACCACAGGGCGAACCGGGGGGTCATGACCCCGCCACGCAGCCTGGTTACTTTTCTAGTACTTACTTATTTATTTATTTATTTCATTATTCCACGTTACAGGCGGTGCCCATTGGCAGGTTCGCTTCGATTCGGTTCCGTCCAATCAAAGAGTCTACAACAAGAGGGTCCACTCCTCTCTTTGAGCCAATTAAAAAAGTGTCCTGAAAATTCGGTGGCGCCCTCTTCGCAAATGCGCACCCTTTGCGAACAGAATTACCCTAATTATGTTTAAAAAATCAAAGTGAACCTGACAAGTTTTTGAATAAATAAGAATTCAAATTTCGGAAGAACGTTTTTTAAATGGTTACGCTGACAAAAAAAAACCTCTTAAGGAGGAAAGGGTGGCTGTTTTCTTCGTTTAATTTGACTTTAGAATGAAAGACGAGAGGTCATTGAAAATTTTTTTAAACCCTAAAACTCCGTACTGAACGAACCCGAACAGCAGTCGATCAGCGCACGCAAGGAGGTGCTATTCATATTCTTCTTCTGGAGAAACGAAAGAGAGTTTCAAAACAGACTGCAGAGCACAGAATTCTACACTAAGTGTAGAATTCTGTGCTGCAGAGCCATCTGAAGCAAAGAGTGGACTTCCGGCGGACACTTTTTTGGCTGCGTGGACCATCTTGTTATGTCCTATCTTTGGTCCAATTCGGCGCGGTTCGGTCGTTCGAATTGAATCGGGACTTGCCAGATTTTCCTTCGTGGAGAGGCAAAATTAAATTAAGCTATATCATCGTGGCACAATTCGAACGACATCGACGGTGACCTTAAAATTTAAAGACGAAATCGTTTGTTTTGGTTTTAAAGGCTGAGAGTAGACCGAACCGATATCCTGCCAACGGGCACCGCCTCTTAGCGTCATTCCACAATCGCTCAAGTGAAAATAAATCTGTTGTATTGTATACGGAATCCTGTTCCCAAAATTTTCAGCGACAACGGGATCATTATTCAGTGTAGCCTAATGGTAGAATTTTACTTTCACACCAGCACGCAGATGCACTGCTTCTGGGGGCTAAATACCGCCATTTATACAATCTTTTTCCTGTTGTTGTTGTTTATTTGGGTTTGTTTTGTTTTTTTGCTGTAGAACGCACATATCTATTGAGGCCACTAAAACTGTCGCAAATCAATTGTTCTAAAAAAAAATATCAAATCTAATTGCAAAACATCAAATGATTATGGTGAAATTTTCTTCCTTGTTTATGACTGAAAAATGGCAGTACCGGTACTTAGACTTTTATTTGGGCGCTATGCTATATCTAGAGATTTTTTCAAACTCTCAAAACTTCACATTGGCAATCAGCAATGGCATGTTCGTAAAATTATCTGCATTGGTGTAATATTGTGTATTTGGTATTCTTCTTGTTTGTTTGTTTGTTTAGTATAGGGTTTTACGGCGCTCGCAACTGCATAAGGTCATATGAGCGCGCGGGACACACCTAATACTTTTTCGTTGGTAGG